ACACCCTCTTTCGAAAAGGTTACTTATCGTACGTTACGCGAGGTTTTGAATTGTGGAGCGACAGAGTCGCAAACTTCGGAACACAACACTAGGCACGAAGATCTAATTTCAGCAACTTCAAATGTGACATTAATTTCTGACAACACCGCATAACGATAAATCGCAACTTCAAATGTGACATTAATAAGTTAATTAATTATTTTTAAGAAACTTGTAGTAACATAAAATGTCTAAAAAAAAAGCAAATCATCTCGATATACTTTAAAATAGGTGGGCAAACTTCGCTTCTGTCATATGCTAATGTAAAAATATTATCATTAACATTGACACACTTATGAGTATTGTCATTTTTATTTAATTTTGCATTATTCATATAAAGCTTTTTAAAAAAATGCCAATAAAATAAGGTACATGGAAAGCTTTACCAGGATCGCATAATTCCATTATAAAAAAAATATTTTAACTTTCTTTTTGAAAAAGAAAGTTAGTATAGCAGTTACTTCTCAAAAACAGATAAAGAAGCACTATAATGCTAACTTCCTTAGTAATAGAATTATAATCTTAATAAGTTATTATTTTAGTTTATCATATACAGTTTATTTATTATAAAAGTACATTAATAATAAGCCATATAAAGGGCGTTTTCAACGCCTTAATCAATACGTACCGTAGTCCGTTCTCCAAAGTACCTGGTATGATACTAATTTTTAAAATATTATTCATACATTATGTGATGTGTAATGCATGTGATTTTTAATTGTAAAAATTGCATAATACCGGTTACTTTTGCGTACGGAATACGATAGTCAAAAAAGTGTTGGAAAATAAATTTTACTTAGCGGAAAATATTCTAAAGGGGTAAAATGAGTTTATTATCGTAATGAATATTTAATTAAGCATCAAAGTTTATTAAGTAATTAATATATTTTTATTAGTAAAAAAAAAAATTATACGTAAATTTATCATTCAATTTATAACCATTTTACGGCAGACCATCTTTTTTTATCTGACTTGGAAAATTTACAATTAATTAAATATTCAAAAATATCGCATATGTAGCCTTATAACGAGCTAAACATAATGATAACGATCTCTCAAGTATCAATTAAGCAAAAATTACAATGATTGATTATAGTAAATGAGCATCATCTTACATAGAGAATAACATTTGTGCGAACTTTGTTTACTCCGTAATTTGCTTATTCAATTCGGTATCAAAAAGATAATTATAGTTGTGCTCAATTACGATCATGAGCTAATCACACAGAGGTTGAGGCTTGAAAACGCCCAAAGATAACCGGTCATTATACGGGTCGATTTTTTTGTTGTACTTTCAAACGATCTAATTCTGGTCAAATCTGCAGATCATTCGGTTTATCGGTTTTAAAACTGATAAACCAAATGATCTGCAGATTTGACCAGAATTAGATCGTTTTGAAAAGTGACAAAAAAACCGGCCCATATGTTCCATCAACATATTCTAAAGAACACTCATTTATCTTTATGGACATAGGATTAAAGTTGTGAACTTGTCGACATATGTAACTCGGAGATTTGGAAATTATGCAGAAGGGAAAACTACCCTGAAAACATCAGGTTTTATTGTAGCCAATGTTATTTCAAAAAATGTTCATTATTATTGTGATGCACCTGCTTATAAGGCTAATCAATGTGATTCACACTTTAATGATTTAAATCGTTTAAATCAGTCAAATCCATCAAACCTAGATTCGTTCTTAGGTGCAAAAAATAATTTTACTAAAAGCCAAAAAATTAATGTATTATTCACTCCTGATAAAACCTTGAATACAAACATCAGTACAGAAAGCATAACAAACAGCAACTGAACGACTAAAAGCATAAATAGTGCACATCTGCTATTGATATTACTAATATTATTTAAAGTATCGTGAAAATATTTTTTTGTTAAGTTCATAGATTTTATATTTCTTCATAAATAAACAAGTACTTGAGGCTAATAAACGCTAGCTTATATTAGTATTGACATTAATTTAAATGATAAAAGATTGTTTATACTAATTTGTATACTAATGTAAAAAATTTCTTTAAAAATTTAACCTCAATTTCCCGTTAAGTTTACGAATCCAGTTCATTTCATCGACAGTCAATTCAACGACAGTACAATTCACCAACAGAGTAATGCTGGTCATTGCCGTTAAGGTTAGGTCTAAAATTAGAGTTAGGTTTAGTGTAATTTATCGGTGAAATGATTGGAACCCAATCGTACGAATCGTACGTATAGTTACGCTCTGTTTCTGGTAAGGATTTTTACCAATATAAAATGCGAGTGAAGCTAGTGAATAGTAACTAGACGCTAGATGTCAGAAACTAATATAATAGCTATATTGAAAGCAAATTATTTTCTAGATAATAGGGTTTGGCAATCTTATGCACGATGATAAAATTTAATAAAAATAGTCTTATGAATTGCAAAAATATTTGCTTTTAAATCCGTGACTCTGTCACGTATTAAGAGAGGGGGGGGAGGGTATACAGTTTTTTCGATAATGATTTTGCAATCATTTTCTTGACTCTTAATTACTACTAACACTAACTCTAAATCAGACAATTTTATCCTAAATCTGGTCAACCGTAAATGAATATATGATGTTGATATTCTAATCATTAGGGGGTTTCAAAGTTAAAATGTAGAATCTAATTTTAATTGAATTTGTTATTTGGTTACAGATTTATTTTCAAATGAGCGATGTGTAACTTTATTTCATTTTCCGATAAATTTGAAATGATGATTTTTATTGTTGAAAGTTTATTTATTTCGTTAAATAGACACTCCCATTTCATTTTCCGATTTTGAAATTTTGAATTACAAATAAGATTTTTTAAATTCTCATTTAATTTCAAAATGCCACTTATTTGTTAACCTTGAAACCCCCTATTTACTACATTTATCTATTAAATAAACACGAATAATAAGAAATTAAATGAAATAGATGGCTTATTTTAAAGACTTTGACCGATAAAATGATCGGTTATTCACAAACTAAATCATATTGACAATAAATTAAATGAGCTATGAATAACTTACTGTATTTTATTTCACAGGCAGTAATAAATGGATAAATTTTAGAGCAGATGATATTAAAAAAAAAGAAATCAGTTATCACTTTATGGTATATAAGATTTTTAATACTTGCTCTTGGAATCAGCATAAACGAAGAAGCTTTTACCCAACACATATTATTGCACTAAAATTAATACCTGAAATTAGATCTTCCTTGCACGCTTTAGTTAGTAATTTTAGGCAGTTTCAACTTGCACGACAATAATCAAACTCAGCATTTTGTTTTCCCATCATAGGTTACGTTTTGGGGTTTGAACAACAACTATGGTTTAAAATACAGGAATAAAGATTACAGCTACATGTAGCAAAGATGGTTAGGAAAAATAGTAAGAGCAGGTTATAAGGTTTCATGAAATTGAATATATATAGGAAGCATCTTATTATAATGTATGTAAGCACGCACTCAAGTACGTACAGTAAAGTATTAAAAAATTCTTACTACATACCAGATACGCATAATCTTCTTACGTACAGTTTTAAAAATATTAATATTACCGAATGAGTTTTCATGCCTTCTTGTAAACTGTAAATGATGTAGAGTTATCGTACGATATTATGGAGCAGACCAACTGATGATTTTGAGGATATTAAACTTATAAGAATGTATCTTTTAGAATTAAACGCTGAAGAACAATCCATTTTAATATTATTTTTCCAAATCATCCAAGACCATTATTATTTGAGTACGCAAGTTATACTAAATCTGTTGGCTCTTATTTACAAGATGGAATTATAGAATGGCTTCAAGCATTATATAATGTCGAAGTACTTTATAATCAAGGTCCTACTATAAATTTAACTCATTATTCTTGGATTAAAATGTTCTTACGATCAAGTGAATATCTTGAAGGTTTAAGCTATCATTTTGGTCATGTTGATTTCGAATGGATGAAATTATTATTAGAAAGTATTAGCAAATCTAAGTTGAATTTTTTAGATCTTTCTTTTTCCCATCTTGATTCTGAGAAAGGAAAAGTAGTAGCTGAAATTCTTTGTAAAAACACTACTACTTTAGATGTTAGCAATAATAAATTCAAATTTGAAGGTGTTAAAGCATTTGCAAAAGTTTTTTGTAAAAATCCTACAATCACTTTTCTAGATATTTCTGATAATAACATTTGTTCTATGGGTGTAAAATTATTTGCGGATGCTATTTTTAAAAACATCACTTTAACCTCTTAAGGAATTTCGGGTAATAAGATCGATTTAGAAGGCGTAATACTATTAACAAAGGTTCTCTACGTAAACACTACTTTAACTTCCTTAAATCCCACATGTAATGAAATTTGTTCTGAGGGTGGAAAATTAATAGCAAAAGCTCTTTGCGCAAACACTTGGACTTTAGATCTTGATGCTAATAAACCTGGTACCGAAGGTGTAAAAGCATTAGCTATAGCTCTTAATAAAAACATCACTCTAAAACCTTTATTTGTTAGTGGTAATTGCGTCGGCCTCAATGGTGCAAAATCTATGGCAAAGACTCTTTGTAAAAATTCCACATTAATTGAATTACATATTGGCATAATTATATTTGTTTCGAAGGAGAAAAGGTAATATCAAAGGCTCTTTGTACAAATACTACTCTGACTTCCTTAGATATTAGTGGTAATAATATTGGTTCAGGCGAAGGAAAAGTACTTGCCAAAGCTCTTTGCACAAATAAACTCCGAGTTCTTTAGAAATTGGTGATAATAAATTAGGTATTAAAGGAGAAAAAGCAATCGCAGAGGCCCTTTCCATAAATACTACTCTGATTATCTTAGGTATGGGTAAAAATCAGCTTAGTTGTGAGGGGGAAACGCATTAGTAAAAGCTCTCTGTAAAAATGTCGTTTAACTACTTTAAATATTAATATGAATAATATTGGTTTTAAAGGAAGAAAGGCATTAGTAAAGGCTCTTCATACAAATACTGCTCTAACTTTCTTTCTTTTATTAAGCTAGATTTTAAAGTAGGAGAAGCCTTAGTAGCGGCGCTGTATAAAAATACTACTTTAACCCATTTAGATCTTGAGGAAAATCATATTGATATTATTGATTATAAAAATTTTAAAACCACAAGTGCATTAGAAAAATTTTCTTGGAGTACTCTTAAACATCACTCTAGATATATGTGATTATTTTAGATAAAAAGCAATAATACATAGTACGAATAGAAATATATGATTTGTTTGATAATTGTATTAGCGCTACGATCAGTTATCAATTATATTACTTTTTTAAGTTGATTTACAAACTTTCAAATTATTATAAACCTAATTTTATGTCTAATAAAGTTCCATCTCTAATTGTAACTCATACAAATGCTGGTTATGTTTTTTTCATTGAAGTTTTAAGATATCTTTTCTCATTTGCAGCTTTCCTAAAAGTGATGAAAAGTTTACAATATATCCATATTTTCGAAAGTGTTTGAGAATCTGACTCATAGAAGGTCTACTAACAATTAAGGTTTAGTTTACCTATGAAAATTTTTAATTACTATATTTGTCAAGAAGATACTTGAAAGTATCATACTTTTATATTCATCCAACAATATAAATATACGTACTACTCGTACTAAAGTTTTGTAATATTTCATCAGTTATCGGATTTTAAATTATATATGAGAAGCGTTCTAGGAAAATGTAGTCCGGAAATTTAAAGTTTCTCCAATTAATTATCAAATTGGTTAGTTTTTAACCCCAAATTATATTATAATTTTACTAGACCACCTCTCATATATCAATTTTCTTCTATTATCCTGAAATTACAAACTTAATCAAACTTGTCAAAATATCATTCAATCAATTTTTATTGTTTCAGAGATTATGAAAATAGTTGTAAGATTTAGCAAAGCAAAACAACTAAAAAAAAGCAAGCATACAAAAGTATATTTGCCCGATGCTAATTAATATCTAGTAAAACATAAACCCAAGGAAAGAGTTAGTACGAGACTACTAAAAAAAAAGCAAGCACACAATAAAACTAAATAATTTATTCGTAGTATATTTGCTTAGTGCTATTATCGTTCAGTAAAGCAAAAAAAAAAAATCTAATGAAAAAAAAATCACTACATGACAAAAAACAAACTACTTTTAGAAAAAGGTGAAAGACAAAACCAAACCTGGTGAAAGATGAAACTGGCGAAACTCTGGCGAAACTGTGTAACTCTGGCGAAGCTGCGTAACTCTGGTGAAACGGCTAAACTCGGCGAAACCACGTTAAAAGGTAAACCCATTGGCAAAAGTCAGAATTACCAGTGAAGATCAAGTCTATAAGACTTCAAGCCGTGTTGCTGAAGAATTTTAATATAGAGTTTATTTTTAAATAATTAGTCTAAAAGTGTAATCAATTTGAAGTTTTGTTTTCACTTTTCAACTATCTTTTAGCTTTTTCTTGGCAGTCAAATCTAGTAGTATTATTCAAGATAATTTAGTATATAAATTCTTTTTATGTTTAATAAGAGTAAAAATATTTTCTATATGGTTATTAAGCACCGCATGTGGCTTATATAAAGAAGTATACAAAGTAACAAACAAAACGGTAGCCTTTTATTTGTACTGTATACTATATTAAAAGAAAACTAAACTTCAGGCTTTTAATTTAACAGCAGAGACCGTTAATGTTACACATATATTAAAACTGGTGATGGATTATATCCATCACAATTGAATCCAACATAAATAATTTCGTTTGTGATTTGTCACAGGTGAGAGGGATTCACTTTGGATCGGGCACTGTTTCTGCTGTATTTTAATTTATAATTAAATAAACTTAGCCTTGAAAATTCAAAGCCTGAAATCATATTTTTTTTAGAAACGTTTATCTATCTATTAATAAACTGTATAATTAGTTATATAAAATAAACTTAAGGCTTTTTATTTAAAGGGATTTCTATTTGTACCCGGTGGGTATATAAGAAAACAAATTAAAAATCATTAATATTTCAAAATTTTACTAAAAAAACCATATGTAAGTATCTTAAGTAAAATGGTCTAAGTATTATTTATTTCCTGGAGCTTAAAAACTATAGCAGAGATTCATATGATCATTGTGGAATCCTCTCTGTTGTAAATTTAAACTCCTCATAGGAAATAAATGAATAATCCCCTGCTTTACGTTATTCATGACTACCTAAACATTCTAATTTTCACATGATCGGGAATCTCTCATAGGAAGATTCCCGGTCACACGGGAAATTAGAATGAAGGTGATCATGAATAACAAATAGTAAGGCAAGGGATTATTTTATATATAGCCCTAACCTTAATATATTGTTATCCGGTGAAGTCACATGACTACGGTTACTCCAAATTAGGGTAACCCGACCCACTTAGGCTACGTAGGCTACATAGGCTATGTAGGCTACATAGGACACGAAGGCCATGTCGGGTAAGTATGAGTT